CTTGCAAGTTGGCAAGTTACATATCTAGGAGCTTGTAAGTTCATTGCACTGATATTTTGTAGGTGTAACTTGAAAGCAAGTTGGCAAGTTGAAGCCATGGAAAAATACACTTTTGTCCCCAAGAATTGGTGTATAAATAGGGATGCAAGAAGTGTACAAAATAAGAGCAAATTAAAGCAAGTGAAGAGCATCAAGTCTTCACAAAGAGTGGTAGAAAGAGAGTGAGTGAGGTAAAATTGAGAGTGAGAAATAGGTTTTTTAATTTCTTGTTCAGTTTAGTGAAACTACGCTGCCTTGGATGTGCACGATTTGCCGAACCACGTAAATCTTCTTGTTTTATTGTTTGATTGGTTGTTTGTGTTTATTTCTGGGCCCTGGGCACAACAAACTAGTATCAGAGTACCCAAGTTGCAAAACGAAGCTCTAAAGGCAATTTGCTGAACCACGTAAATTTTTTTGTTTTATTGTTTGATTGGTTGTTTGTATTTATTTCTGGGCCCTAGGCACAACAAACTGGTATCAAAGCACCCAGATTGCAAAACGAAACTCCAAAGCTCTGCTTTTTAAATTTTCCCAAAAACCAACTTTGCCCGACCAAACTTTTGAATACACATTCGAGTTCATCTCGATTTTAGAAGTCCAACGGTGCACAAATCGAGGCAAACGAAGCTCAGACGCTCCCTTACACGATGGTCAAAGTTGGTGTGTGAATCTCACTCAAATACGAGCCCACGTGTCTTCTCTAGTGGGGTTTGGTTTAGCATGACGTCACCATCTAGTCAATAGCCACGCTCAGTGCCATCTCAGCACCCAATCAACCGCCACTTCACCACCACATCATTGACACGTGTCTAACACGTCAGCACCACATATATGACACGTCAGCGTATCCACCAAGTCATTGGAAATTTTAGAAATTTGCATTTTGGTCCCTAAATTTTGGTGTAACTGCAACTTGGCCCCTAAGGTTTTTGCAAATTGCATTTTGACCCTTGTGTTTTTGGTAAATTGCAATTTAGCCCTTTCTATTTCTGAAATTTTTTTTTGGCCCCATAAATTATTTGAAATTGCAAATTTGGCCCCAAAGGTTTCTAGAATTTTCAGTTTAACCGTGAACTCCGTTTTTGCAAATGCAAACCCAAAGTTATGAGAGCCTTTTTGGAATAGAATCGTCGTTTTGGGATTTCAAGAGTTTATTATTGTTTGCATAAAAGGATATGCGGCAATATGAAGTCTTAGGCGTGTTATCCAACAAGAATTGGATATTGTTTGGAAGGTCAAATTTGAAGGGTTGCCCAATGGAATTTGATTGCACAACGGCATTGGATTAACCCATATGAGTGGAGGGAGTGATAAATTTTGTCCACCCATTTGAACACCTTTGGGTCTTTGGTATGGCCATTGGGCACTTGGTGATCCTCTATGGTGGATCCGTATTGATTGATCTTGGAAGATTCACATTTGTCAATTTCAAGATCATGGGGCAATCTACTTCAGAGCTTAGTGGAGCTTTGGCGTCCTTTTGCAGCCTCTTGAAGGCATTGTTTTGGCAGTCTTCCACAGATTGTTGGCATCTTCTTTGAAGCTATTTGCAGATATCTTTTTATCTTCGTTGGGATCTATGTCCATGTTTGATTAGATCCATTGGTGTCTCCTATTTCGTGAGACTTGTGATCATTTGGGCCCAAGGCCCAAAAACAAACACAAAACAAGCAACCAAACAAGAAGCACACAAGATTTACGTGATTCGGCAAATCGCCTACATTCACGGCAATGGAATTTCACTAAACTAAATAAGAAATTATCACTCTCAACTTTACCTCACTCCTCTTTCTACTACTTTTTGTGAAAACTTAATGCTCTTCACTTGCTTTAATTTGCTCTTATTTTGTACACTACTTGTACCCCTATTTATACACCAATTCTTGGGGACAAAAATGTACTTTTCCATGGCTTCAACTTACCAACCTGCTTGCAAGTTACACCTGCAGAATATCAGTGCAACGAACTTACAAGCTTCTAGATATGCAACTTGCCAACTAGCAAGTCTTCTAGAATCTGAGCCAACTCAATTGAATCTACTCAATACAACAAATCTCCACCTTGGCGAAGATTCTCCAACTTTTACACCAAAACAATCAAGTCATGCAAAGTGGAACATTGTGTTCATGCGGTTGACACAGGTAGTGGAAGATTGAGAGAAGTATAAGAGATTGGTGAGATGTGGGAGCCAGATTGGCTACAAAATGCTCATGGAACTTGCATAAGCAGAATCTATGCATCTGGATCTAAGTCTTCATACTTGAACAGTGCATTCATGGTTTTTTGCCCTTGGCTTGGAGTTTTTCCACACAAACCGTTGTCTATTTGATTGTGTGCTTGATTTATATTCTCTGCATAATTAGCATAATGATCTATTGATTGAATCAAATTGGATTGAAAAATTCATGTTATGTAACTGAAAAGTAGAACCACTATATTCTGTGCACTTTGAAAACATGGTTTTTTATAACTTATTTTTTGCCTCAGGAGTTGTTGGAAAATGGGACAAGAATGAGCATGCACACAGGCTAATTGGAGGGACATGGAAGGAAATTAAATGTGTGTATGATGCTGCTTCTAGGGAATAGCTAAATAAGTATAACAAGCTTTTGGAAGCCTAAGGCGAAGGCTATAGTTCCCATGATTATCAAGTAGAGTTTTGGTCCTTCGGAAAGTGTCCCTCTAATGTTTATGGCCTTTATTTATATATTTTTTCTAAATTATTATTCCGAGTCCTTTTTATTCTTGTTTTATTTGTTTTTTAGAGCTGAAGACATTTTGGTAATTTTCCATTTTGCTTGACATGGTATATAGTTTTGGTCCATGGATTGTAATACGAGTTCTAGGTAATGCTTTTGGGCCTTTTATATGGTTTTTAGAAGAACTAGAATGTTCTAATTAGTAAAGGTTACAGGCTTAACATTTGTGAGTCAAAAGTCCTCGAAGAATAGGATAATTATAGTGGTCTAAATATCTTTGCAATTCTTCTATTCAACAGAGCTAATTCTTGGAAAATTTGTGGTAGTGCAATTTTCTTGGTCCTTGCAAGTCGTAACACTACAACTTGATAAAAAGTCTATATTTTACATGAGCAAATTGAAAGAATAGTGACTAAATGAAATTTGGGTCAAACTGAGTAACTAGTGTAATTTACCCTTACGTAAACAAAAGCTATGGGTGTGTTTGGTTTGGTTTGGTTTTGGGAGGTAAATTTTCAAAAAAAAAATTTGGGGAAAGACCACTACACCTACTACCACATTTTCTTCTATATATAGATTGTATAGGAATTGTAATTAATCAATCTTGTAATATATCAATACAACAATCAATATCAATCAATAATATACATCAATTTTTCTTTCATGGAGTATGGGAGTTTGGAATGATTTGATATTTTGTTGTAGTTAAGTAGATGTGTGTGAGAGAAAAAGTGATTGAGAAGGAGCGGAGAGAGAAAAAAGTGATTGATTGATGTGTAGGAGAGTGATTTTGAAAAAAAAATTCAAAAATTTTCCAACCAAACAAAATTTTGGAAATTTTTTTCAAAAATTGTGTTTTGAGAGTTAAACCAAACAAGGCCTATATTATTCTTTCCTCCACAAAATACTTTCTAGTGCATGCATTGTACGGGACAATGTGAAATTTGACATCTGACCATATCCATAACTGAGAAGCAATGACATTCATGAGATGGAAAAAATGGACATATTTCAAAAGTTATGCACAACATATTGAAATGGTTTCTTATGCAAAGATCTACTTTGATGTTTTTAACAAAACTGGACAATAGGTATGGGAGGGTCAAGCCGTTGAGGAGAAGCCTGAGTTGGCTTGAATTGAATAGGTTCAAACACATCTTGCCAAAGAGACTCAAAGAAGAAGTGAACTGGTGGAGGAGGAGAGGGAATTGAGGAGAAAGAGAAGAGAGCGAGAGATGAGGTAGCCCTCATGTCCATGGTATCAGTAGTGACAGTGTATGTGAGATGAACCTCTCGTGATTATCAGAGAAGATAAAGCAGAGAAAAAATGTAGAGAATAGACATGGAATTTAGAAGAGAATCTTATGGCAAATAATTCTCTTGGTGGATTGAGTAGTGGCCAAGAAATGGGGGCATATATGGACAAGGCCACATCGGAGACCAATACAAATCTGAGGGGCAATTAAGAAAAAAGGGGATATGTGTCCCTATAAGAGGGGACATGTGCTATAAGCCTCTTTCCAATTGTATCCTCTAAATAAATCCCTCTTGTGCTATAGATTGATGCTAACGCGCATGGGGTGGGGTCCTGATCACACCAACCCTAAACTAATACTCCCTCGTGGCTACAAGCTGCGATGCGAACACCTAGATATACCGTCCTACAAAAGGTGTATTTATGTAGGTGCATATTTTAGAGCAAAAATCAATATTCTACATATGTTCCACATTAGATAGCCATGCACTATAAATGAACCTAAGCAGCATCAACATCTACCAATAATTAAATTTAAATGTAGCTTAGAGCTATGCCTATATACATTCTACTTATTCATTTAACTTTTCTAATAACTAGACTCTCCTAAGATTGTGATTTTAAGCCTATGAATGGTTAGGTTTTGTCATATAACCATTCTAATGAGCTTAAACCTTTTCACTCTTTTTCATCTTTTTTGGCTCTAATAAAAGTAAGACACACCAAACCCTGTATCCAAACCATGGCGTAATTCCTGCTCCTTTCCCACTGCATGTGACAAAACAAACCACTCTATGGAACAGCTGTTGCTGCATAAATTTTTCCATCATAAAGTCTCCTACCAAATTCAACAATATTAATAGATAAGCAGTTTGGTCTTACTAATATGACCGAAAGCAAAGTCTCAATACTCAAGACTTAAATGATCAAGACACCAAATTTGCTACCAGTGATATATTAAACTGTGCCCCGAGAGAGAGAGAGAGATTAGAACTACCCCCTACCTTGATCAGAAGCTGCTGCCACAGAAGATAATTGACCACAAGCAGAAGCCTTTGCACCAGAAGTTTGTACATCTGCATCAGCAAGTAGTATAATGCCTCCAGCAGAAACACCCTGAAAGAAATACTTCAACAACTTGTTCCTTCAATTTTAATCAGAAGGTTTCTTTTAGCTGGACAAGTCTCAATCCAGCACATAAGAATCAGTACGTCAAGAATTAGTACCTGACTTGAGTAAGGAGTTTTGACAGAAGACCAAGACAAATTATTTTCTCCTGAAGGTCCAGTTGTGGTTGAGCTATTACTTGAAAGTTTTTTTACAGGAAAGCCACCATTGCTATCATCTGAAAACGATGTAATTATATTCACTCCTGTCGAGGAAGCTTCCAATCTGAAAAACAAAATAAAAACATAGAAAAAGGGGGAGAGAGAGAGGATCAGATTGGACAATATTTGATGATTCACTAATGTTGGTGGAACTTTGTAGACTCTAATGTAGTAAAGAACTGATTCTGAAAGGGGCAAGGTCCAAAAATATAACCTTGCATATTTTCCCTTGAGTTTTACCATATCAGCAATTTTGTCATCATCTTCACATGTCACCAATACAACCTTCTCCTGCAAATTAGGAGTGCAACTTACAGTCTATTGAATTTATGATCATATGAAAATATGAAATCCCAAAAGAGGATAACATATAATGAAAATATGAAATCCCAAAAGAGGATAACATATAAGACTTACTTGCCGAGCCCTAACACCAAGATGAGATAAGTGAGGCAGCTCCTGTAGAAGTACAACTCCAGCTATATTACCACCCGCAGCTGTTACCTGTAACAGGCATCAACGGCGAGAATTAAGCTCTCTCCTACACCTGTTTTTGAGTTGTAGGGGTTGTTTGGTGCACAATATGGATCTTCTTATAGCTTTATTTATTTAGAAATATGAAAGTGTTTGGTGCAGCTTCTACTTACAACTTATGATGCAGAAATAGCTTAAATAAGCTACAAAAAGTAGATTATTGGGAAGCAGGGGAAACGTGCTTTTGGGTTGTGCTTTGTGATTAGCAACTTTCAATTTGCTAGAAGCTGCACCGAACAGGCCTGTAATCATATGAGAAATAAGAACTTGTAGTGACATAATAAATATTTACCTCTTCATCTCCATCAGCTTTGCTGACCACAAGTATAACAGGACCTGTTACAGATGATGGCAGTGTCCCAGGCACAATGCTCTCAACCTGAAATTGAATTAAATCAGTTTCAACTAAATCTAATGTCAGTCAAATAAAGTCCCTCAAAGGAAAACAGAAGAAGATATCAGTCAGACAATTAAGGCATATGCAACTAAGAGCATTTTCCCCAAAGTTCATCAAAGCAGAAGCATTTCATGTCTTCAAAAACTATCATTATCATTTATGATGAAAATCTTTGGAATAAATGATGATGGTACAAATAACAAAAATAATTAATGGAAAAAGGCTACCAGCATACAGACCTTAGTCCTTATATTAGTTTTTGAAACAATCAGCTTTCATTTCATCTTTATTGGCAATGAAAACAATATGTCATGCTCCATATATATAATCATACTATACTGACACTAGTCCCAGTTTCAGCTTTTGTAAACATTACCTCTTTATAAAAACTTAAATTCAACACCTAGCTTGTAGCACTTGATCTACAGAGAATGAGAATTACTATTCTTTCTTTCTTTCTTTCAAATGAATTTTGGGATGGAATCCATAAGCAGTATTGTAAATCTTCATTGGAGTAATATTTCAGGAAGAAACTTCAGAATTGAGGTGACGTTGCATGTAGAATAAGCAAGTAACTATAAAATTATCATATGATATTGTATGAGTTATCATTTTTATGATAATTGCAATGCATGAGCAAATCTTGTTCTATGATCAATTCTAAAATGATTAATGGGAAAAAAATGGAAAAATAAAACAATAAGTTCCTTTTTTATGGTGAGTAACTTCCCAATTAAGAAATTCCTACTCAAACCAAAGTTCACAAAGTTTTAAATAGATAATTTGTTGGCAGAAACTTTGATATGCTTTCCAAGATTTAATGGAATACCTGTATTACAGTACCAGAAGCAGTTCCTGGAACAAGAACATCCCAGCCTTGAGAACCAACTGTAGTTCTAACAGCTTTTAAAAGAAGTGTACAAAGTTTTGAAACCTGAAAAACAACACTGAGTATGACATTTACCAGCAGAAAGTTAGATGGCAGTTATAAATGATAATCAGTTCTCTAATTCTATGGTCAATGAAATTGGAATCAAAAGTTGCATTGGCTTACTATTATCTAAGTTCCAAATTTTATCAGAATGGGAAAATAAACTGTTATCATACCTGGCACGAATCTCAGCTTCAGTGTATGTCCTCACACTGTTTATAGGAATTCCAAGAGCTTTGCCTAACATCTGCAAGACCCAAGGAGAATGCTATATAAATACCCAAACATTTTGCATCAAAATCCACCACATATGCACTATGGAGAATTGGGATCAGAAAGATACAAGAGACTTTTATCCTTCTATGGCTGACATCTAAGAAGCATGGACACGGACACATGACACGACACGGACACGTAGACACGGTAATTTTCAAAAAATGTATGACACGACACGTGGGGGACATGCACAGAATATATAATTTTATATATTTATTATATGTCACATATATGAACATGTCATTCTAAGACAATAAATAAATACAATATAGCACTAACTTCTATAAATTGACATTATTTTTCCTTTATCATCTTATTCTAAGTTATTTTGTTCAAACTTATAATTAGTTTCATGTTTCTAGCCAATGGACACACATGTCCTCTAAGTGTCCAAAGAGTGTCCAAGTCCTAAATTCTTTATAAAAAATTAGGACATGTTTGGATGAGTGTCGGACACATGTCAGCAGAGTGTCCAATGAGTGTCGGTGTCTGACATGGACACAACACGAATACGCTACCTTTTTAGAAGTGCCCGTGCTTCTTAGGATGACATTGTCTTGAAAAGGTTTATCAAATTCCCACTATTATGTTAACAGTTTAAAGCCAACTAAATCAAGCACACTTTGCTTAGAAACTGAGAGGACTTTCTAAATTTTAAAAAAAAAAGAGGGACTCTCTGAATACCTGTTGGGACTAGATGTAGCATCAGCTCAAATACGACACACAAAAACAAAAGAACCAACTCTGAAGACCTTCATGTGCTATCTATTAACTTGAAAAAACCACATGCTAGGGTTCCTAAAGAGAGAATTTGACGGGTTTTACAAAGAAAGGAATGCTAGCTAGATGCGCCAAGGTGAATAAAACATGAAAAGTGGAGCCACGACTAGTGTGATATCAAAGAGAGAGTGATAAATGAATTTCAAATAACAATAGGCTTAAATTAAGAATCAACATTAAATCCTTATCATTTTACATAAATTGCAGAGAACTTACAAGAAGCTTTCCAGAGGATGTCCACTACTATATGTTGTTTGTTGACTAACATAATTTAATAGCGAAACTAGAGCAGGAGTGAACTTTAAGTTACAATGTTAAGAGATAACTTAAAATGTAAAGGTTATATGTTACGCAAGACAAGAAAAAAATATGGACTTCAACAAAACCAGAAATAAAAATTAGGATAAAATAAAACTAGATGTCTACAGGAAGAGTGAATATAATCTTATCTATAATCATTAGCAAGGAGAGATTGAGGAGGTTGTTGCCAATAATCTTTTATCAAAATGCACAAAAGGAATCAGGGTCGGCCCGGAGATAAGGCCAGCAAGGCGGCTACCTTGGGCCCCTAAATTCTCTCTAAAAGATAGGGCTCCTAAATAATTTATTTCTTAAGTTAGGGTTGGTTCATTGAAATGAACTGGAATGAAATAATCATTTCATCATAATGTTCATTTTCATGTTTGGTTCACCAAAAAAATGATTAAAAAAATATACTACAAGTAGAATCACCATTCAACATTATGAGAGAATAGTTATTCTATAGAGAGGCTAAGGAATGACTATTACATTTCATTCAATTTCATTCTAGTGAACCAAACATTACATTATTGTATTAGTAGTTTAAAAATGAAGTTTCACTGATTTTTTTTTTAAATAATTAAAGTGGTGAATTAGTTAATAGTAATAATGGATGGTTATTGGCTAAATGTATGGATTGTTTATTGAATATTGTCGACTATAACAGTTACAAATGCCTCTTGAGAAATAATTTTTTTTAAGTTGAAGTTGATCAACTTTTAAATTTAATTAGCTACATGTGAGGAAAAAAATTGAATAAATTAATAACGTTACCCAGCAAAAATGTCCAATATCTATCTTAATAATTATGATTTATGTCTATCTCAATAACTATGACTTGAGACAATTATAAAAATCATATGAAATTGCTTAAAAAATACAATATTATAATTATTGTGAAAAACAAATTATAATCAAATTATTCACTAATACAATATTTTCAAATTGGATTTGTCACCTCATATTTTAAATATTTTCTATGCATAGCACAGGTAAAAACCTAGAGATTTTAGTTCTTATATATGCAAGCAAATTTTGTGTAGATGCAAAAAATTTAAAAAAGAAGAAAAGAAAAGGTTAATTGCAAAAAAAAAAATCCCAGGATTTCGCATGTTTTTCAATTTAAACCCCAGAATTTCAAGTTCGACAAATTAAACCTTTCATTTGTGTTTCAATTTGGCCCCTCCATCCATGTCTGTCATATTAAACTAAATTTGGACAAAATTTAAGATTCAAGCACACATGTTCAAACACTTATATTTCCCTCGTCATAACTCCGTTTTGCCTTAGTTTTTGCGTCGTTGAATTCACCTCATGATCTAATTTTCATTCCACTATTCATACGCCTTGTTCATCATCTTTTTACTTGGAGCTCCAAAAATTGGCCAAAAATAAGATTTCTATCTTTAAGCAAAATTTTCAGATTCAAATCCACATATTCAAGCACTTGTATCTCCCTCGTCGTAACTTTGTTTCACCTCATTTTTGCGTCTTTAGATTCAACTCATGGCCTAGTTTTTATTCCACCTGTCATATGCCTTGCTACACCTCTTTTTGCAAACCGTCGGATCTCCAAAAGTTGGCCAAAAATAAGCTTTTTCTCTCTTTTTCTTTTTTCCTTCCTCCTCGTCTAAGAAGCACGGACACTTCTAAGAAGGTGACGTATTCGTGTCGTATCCGTGTCGGACACCGATACTCTTTGGACACTCTCAGGACATGTGTCCGACACTCTTCAAAACGTGTCCTATTTTTTAAATTTTTTTAAAGACTTGGACACTCTTTGGACACTTGAAGGACATACGTGTCCATCGCTTAAATACAAGTGTCTAACGATTAGACATATGTGAAATTAATTATAAGTTTGAACAAAACAACTTAAGATACAATAATAAAACAAAAACTATATAAATTTATAGGAATTAGTATCATATTGTATTTTTTATTATCTTTTTAATGATATATTCATATATATAACATATAATAAATATATAAAATTACATATTTCATGTGTGTCCCTCACGTGTCGTGTCCTACATTTTTTGAAAATTAACGTGTCAGCATGTCCGTGTCGTACTCGTGTCGTGTCACGTGTCCGTGTCCATGCTTCTTAGCTCCTCGTCCTCCTCCTCCTCCTATGTTGCTGCTACTGCTTCATCATCATCACTTGACGGTGTCTACAATTCTGAACAGTTGAATTTTATGGTCTTGACTGCTGCTTTGTGCTTACATGACTCTTCAAGTGAACGGCCTCAAAGGAGCAAGGCAAGTGTTTGATCTCATGAATGCTAACTAAGAATTTTTGTTGCACACATTGAACTGGACTATCATTTCTCAATTACAAATAACAAAAAGATCCCCCAAGATAGATACCATTTTAACCATATTTTCCAATTTTCTTTTCTTCCTTGACATTGTTTTCAAGAACCAAACAGAGCCTTATATTCTAGTGGACTTGATTAGATTGTTTGGACCAACAATCAGTTATGAACAAGCAGTTAGGAAATGGGCATTATCTTCCTTGGATGTGAAGCTATTAGAAAAAGGGAAATATTCAAGCTTCAAAAGCATTTTTTTGAACTTTCGGTTTGTTAATTTGCCCAGTTCTTTGTAGTCCAAGCTCCTTGCAGATAATGACGATGAAGCAGCAGCAGCAGTAGCAGCAAGGCAGGAGGAGGAGCCGCGGAGGAGGAGGAAGAAGAAGAAAGAAGAAAAAAAAAGAGAGAAAAAGCTTATTTTTGGCTAAATTTCGAAGGTCCGACGACATGCAAAAAGAGGCAGAACAAGGCATATGAGGGATGGAATTAAAACTAGGCCATGAGTTGAATGTAACAACACAAAAATGAGGTGAAACGGAGTTACGACGAGGGAGATACAAGTGCTTGAATATGTGGATTTGAATCTGAAAATTTTGCCCAAAGAGAGAAAAATCTTATTTTTAGCCAACTTTCGGAGCTCCAACGGCAAGTAAAAAGATGCAGAACAAAGCATATAAAGATTGGAATGAAAATTAGGCCATGAGATGAATACAACGATGTAAAAATGAGGCCAAACGGAGTTACGACAAGGGAAATACAAGTGTTTGAACATGTAGGTTTGAATCTGAAATTCTGTCCAGATTTCTATTAGTTTAATATGACGGAGATGGACGGAGGGGCCAGATTGAAACAGGAATGAAACTCTAGGGTTTAATTTGTCGAAATTGAAATTCTGGAGTTTAAATTGAAAAACACGCGAAACCCTAAGATTTTTTTGTAATTAACCCCCCCAAAAAAAAAAACATTAACAACAACAACAACAACAACTTTTTCTTTCAAATATGTATGAAGGCCCCATTTTAAAATTCCCCTTGGGCCCCATAAAGTCAGGATCGGCCCTGAAAGGCATATTAGTGTAATTCTAGAATCCAACCAAATACGAAAGAAGTGCTATTGGAAGCTAGAAGCTAGCTCTACTATATGTTGCATAATATTGAGGAGTAAAAGGCAACATGTGCAAGTGTAGACAAAATTAGAATGTTGAAATGGATAGGAGCCATTACATGAAACGATAAAAAACTTGGCTTAGCTGGTTGAGAAAGGATTGAAAATCCTTGTGTCACCAGTTGAAATTTGGTTCTTAGCACATGAATTCACACAGAAAGTTATGAGATGCGACCAACTAAAGGTGTCAAGCCAACAAAAGGAAGGCCAAGAAGAATGTAGGTTGGGATAGTGAGAAACAACACAATTACTTCAAGTAACTGATGATAGGAGTTTAAATAGATCGTGTTAGATCACTTAATGTCCCAAAAACTTGAAATTTTAGGAAATGAGCCGAACAATGTTTATCAAGCTATCTAATAGATCCAACTAGAGAAATGGAACCATTCAGCGGACTCCATCTACTTGAGGGTTGTTCAGTTGAGTTGTATTCATGAATAATATAGAAGTTTTATAAAATAAAATAAAATAAAAATATGTGGAAGATTAAATTCCAAAAACAAAAGCAAAAGAGAAAGAAAAGAAAAGGAAAGAACAACAACAAAAACAAAAGTTGTACCTCGACTTTCTGAGGGAAGATCTGCAAAAGTGCCTCAGAGTACTCTTCAGTCAGCCTTCTAGATCTATCAAGGGTAGCTTTAAGCCTTAATGCCCAAATCATCTTCCCATCTTCATTGCCTTTCATTAGATAAATGAAAAGATGCTTAAGAAGCATTACCACCTTTCACCAAATAAACACTTACAGAAATAACTAGTCAACAAGATACCTTCTTTTTCTAAGAGGCCTTTCTCTTGCCATGCTAGAAGTTCATTTCCAATAGCATTGCACTCTTCTGGTTTCCAACCTGATAATCCCAGCTGACGAATGCCAACAATGAGAGTGCCAAGTGGATCATTCCAAGAGCTTACATTCTTGGATTCTACATTCTCCACAAGCCAACGTGCCCCTCCCACAGCTTCAATTGCATTAAGAAACCTATACAGATCAATCATTCAGAAGTGCATGAACCCAACAAATGTATCCTTAATGGATTTTTTGCAAAATGTTAATAAATAGGTTAACAAATAAATTGAATTAGTTCTACAACACAAACCAAGACAACACTAGTGCCAGCTGAATGGGCCTTTTACATATGTAGTCATAAGCAATGTCAAACAAAGTGCCTCCGCAAAATTGTTGGTCCATTAAATACAATCATCCTTTTTTGTTCTTTTGAATGATGCTCAGTCCAACACGTGATATGTTTAGAAAATAAAGTGAATAGGACTCTGGTTGTTCCTACTCATCATTGTAATGATGAGTGACCAAGTTGAGATGTTCATTTACCATAAAGATTAGAGATAGGCGGAGAACTGATATTCCCATTCCTCTAGAGACGCAAAACATGAAAAGCAACAATAATGTTAATACTTAGCTTAAGTTCAAAATATTATGCATCCAGCTGGAGATTTCACTAGAAGAAATCTCCATTGTTTTCTTAAAGGTTAAAAACATGTGTGGGCACATATGTAATAATCTGACAACACATTTGGTGTCAAATACAACAATTTCCTAAAATTGTTAAGAAAAAACAGCTATTGTACAACTGCAAATGACTTGTATTCTAGAAAGACGGAACAATTTAAAAGGTGAAAATATAACTTAATAAGGCTATGAGTAAGTTTCATGTCACTTTGAAAGCCAGTTGAAGTACTTCTCTCCTATCAGAAAAAAAATAAATATAAATAAATTTTTTTTTTTAAAACAGCAGAACCACTTCAATTTAATTTAATTTTTAGTAAGTACTACAAATGGTAAGTACTTATTACTTTCAAAGGTTCCGTGACATATGGCACGATACACATTTTTGCATATATATTAAGACAATAAATATATATACATATATTCCAGAAGAGTTTTAACTGATGGGTGATACTTGTACAGGTGTTGCTCTGCAAATAGTGCACAGGTCAATTGTCCATAATTCTTAAATAAATACTAATTTATAACCAATGCTTCCTGAGAAACACTTAAAAGATGTAATTATTACCTCTGGCCTCCACTAAAGAAGAGTCAATATATCAAGGAAGCACAATAATTTAGCATACCTGCTAAAAAGAACAAAAGCATAGTCCTCAAGTCCAATCTCACAAAGACGCCACTATAAAAAATCAGTCACAAAGAACAGGCTCTCAGAAACTGAAATGAAATCCGTGTCAATTTGAAACAAATGTAGAGTAATTGATGCATAATGATCGTACCCTTTGGCGCATTGCCATCGCAGCATCAGGGGCATCATTTCGAATACCACTTTCAAGACCCTTTACAATTACTTCTCGCAGAGCATTTAAAGATTGTATGGTTTTGACCAGCATATGCATGCCATTATTTGTGGAAGCATTATTTGTTTCTTGCAAACTATCCAAACTCTGGAAACCAACAAAATAACCATTTATGACAAATTAATACAAAAATAAAATTGTCAAAACCAAACATGAGCAAATCGTTGGTTCAAACAAAGGGGAGTATAAAGAGAGTGAGTTCATTAAAATATGAGACGGTAAGTTTATGCAATAAAAATTAAGTGTGAGTCGTGACAAATTACAACTTAATGAATGGTTTCTGACTTCAAGCCTAATGTAAGAAAAATATATTTTCAGTTTTTACCTCTTGTTTGAAATTAAGAGAATAGCATCAAAATGATTCTCCTAAATCACAAAAAGATTGCAACAATCTCTTGCTCAGCTTCTGCCATGAGTGAATCAGTTCAAAAGGTATGCTACCTATTGAAGAACATTCTTTCCTCAAAGAAAATACCGCTTCATAATATGACATATTTGCTATTTGTGCTATATTTTGACTTTGCACTCAGGGGAGAGAGAGGGAGAGAGAGCAAAACAATAAAAGATGTAAGATGACCAATAGAAGAGTTTTAAAAAGGCTTAAAATGGGGGACAAAACACAAAATATAGACACGTACAGCATTACCTAAATAAGAGTTGGACAGAGAACACATGTCTCAGAACCCTTGACAACTTGAAAACAATGTCACATGGTTCCGGTGGAAGATTAAGGATCAAGCTCATCAATGGTTCCGGTGGCGATCCAAAGCTTAAAGGAGATGAGCATAATGATGAAAAAGCTAATGAAGAATCTAAGCAAAGGTTCTCGAGGTGCCACCACTATTGGCTTGCCAAAGAGATGGAAGAAAGTAGAGGCAGCAATATTTTCTGTACTTTAGATGCAGTTGAGAAGTAAGAATGATTGCTCAATTTTCAAGTTTAATTCCTAGATTTTCCCAAATGAGATTCTTCCATTGTGTAATATATGATGAGCAACTGATATGGTCCCAGGTTTGACATTTTCCTATTTACTAGCCCATTGCAAGCATTCTGAAAATCACACAGCCCAGAAGACAAATTGCTGAGCTACCAACGAAAGACTTAGTCAGTTGGTGCATGTGTACCACTACTGTCAGCTTTGGGAAACTATATATACCCCCTTCTTATTATTACTTGTTCAAGAGAACCGTGTATTGATTGTTGGCTGTTTGATGAATACTTATACTACAATACGCATTTATACTTCAATAAACTGTTGTTGCCATCATGCAATTTGGGAGCTATAATTGCAAGGGAAAGATTTAGTAGAATGTTTTGGCGAATAATAAAGCTGTTGCACAATATGATTTTGGCCAAGCTTAAGGAACTTCAAAGCAATTAAAGAAAAGCCCAGGCAAACAACTCTGAAAAAGCAAAGAAAATAGCAACAAAACCCAAAAAAAATCTTAAAATTCAGCTACAATCGCTTCAAGCCCAAAATCAAGCTCATAGTTGTTACCGGCAATCAATCCATTCTCACCTTTTCCCCAATATGGCTTAACCCCTTTACCAACTATGTCTCAAACTTTGCCCATTAAATGTTGTATTGCATCAAGGTTCAAACTCACTGGAATCAAGTTCTTTCAAACCAGAGGGACTTGATGGGGATCAACAGCTTAAAGTCTTCTTCACAATCAATGGCCATGTTACTTTTCTTTTTCAAATTAATCATGTCACAACACATTTCTATGAGCATTATGACTCATTTTTTTACATTTTGACATATCGAAACTCGTCTCCTTAGATTTTAGTTTATTATATTTAATTTGTTTTTCCTCCTAAGGTAACTTCAAAGGTTCACATAGGAAAATATTGTTAGGATTGCTACATTCACCTTTTGGAATGGAAGCGTAGTAAGTTTCAAAACAAATGTTCCAAACCGTAAATCACTAGGGTAATAGTGTTTTCTGGTAACACTAATCAAGGGAAATTTGATAATTTCCCAAAGATACATGATGGAATCTAGTTTAGTAGAATATTTAGTTATGAGATTTTTTTATGTTCTTTTTTGCTTGGAATTAGATTGGTGTGGATTAAAAAATAGATAATTTAATATAAGAAAATAAATCAAGGTTTAACCTATCAAACAAACTTTTTTTTTTTTATAATAATTAACGAACACCAATATTTTATCATAGACAAATAATTCAAAATTGCACATAAACACAATTATCTAACTCATAAATTATAAACATTTGAAAATAGTTACGAAATTGAAGTGTTTTACATGATAAGCCTAGAGAAGGAGAAGGAGAAGGAGATTGAGGAGATGAACAAGAAGAATAACAACTGTTAGTCTAGTCGAAGAGAAAGGTCTATCCAACCAACATTTTTGTAATTAGGGCTCAAAAGTATTGGGTTGCAATGTATGTCTTAAGAGTTTAATCCCTTGTAGCAGCATATAAACCAAAAACAATGAGATTAAGGGTAATCAAGGGTAGTAATTGTACTAAACAAACATTTTAAAAGAAGCGCACAAGTTGTGCGCCCTGAGCCTAAGCCCAAAGTGCACGCTTCATATGCCTTTATGGGGCCTGTTTTTTACATTGCCTAGCCTATGATGTTCTAAAGCGCACTGACTATGCCTTGATGAGCCTGGGGCCAGGGAATAACACTAAACTTCACGTGCTTCTATGTAAGCAAACCTGTTGTGAAATAATAGATCAACTTTTACTAATAATAATTGTTCGCAAATTTTTAGACTCCATTAATTTCTTGTCAGTGTCCTAAAAGTTCTAAAAGAGATTCTAGGCTATCTTTTCTTTTTCTTCTTTGATTTAACTTTCAGCAGCTATGCTTTTCATTAGTGTAAGTTTTGTGACCAAACCCTAAACCTTTGATTCTAAAACCCTAACCCTAACTTTTTTTTTTTTTTTTTTTTTTATCGGCGAAAGTCGGCGGTTAGTTGTTAGATTGGCACATTGGAGGGAGTTGAAACTCACACCCATACACCTTGCAAGAAAATCTTTCCCTCCCGTTCCACTCTTAAGAGTGGAACCCAAGACCTCCCCCTTAGGAGAGACTTGGTGGCCAAAGGGCTAGCCAACTAGGCTAGAGCCCCTTGGTTAACGCTAACCCTAATTACCCCACCAATGTAGCACCTCAAACCTCATCTTTCCCTCGCTGTGCAGAAAATCCAGCAAGTTTCTTCTCTCTTTGTTTTCACACTTCAAATGGCCACAAAACTTACATCTTTCTGTCCTATATTCGTCACGAAACCTACATCTAATCTTCCTAATAAAAAACACTCAACATTAACCCCCCATCAACCATGTTTAACCATAGGACAACCTTAATTCCCTTGCTTAAGGCTCTGCCCTACATCATCGGTCATCATTCTAATTTTCAATGGTCTCGTTTCTTGCACGAATCATTGAACATACTTGCAATCTTATAATACAGTCAAGTTGTATATGAACTGTGCAAAGATCAAGCTAACATAAATTAATATTATCATGCGTAGCACAAACGTAACAATTAGTAATAGTAAATTATCAATGAAAGACCTGGAAATGTTTATCTATTTAGTAAGTATACAAATGTAGCTGAATCCAAAAAAAAAAAAAAATCATAGATAAATTCACATAATCATCACCAGCTAAATGTAAACGTCAAATCATATCCGCAGATGAAAACCGAGTATAATGTAAAGTGACCGTCTACCTTCTTGCACTCTAAAAATAATGAAAGAGCTGACAAACTTCGTTCATCCAAAGAATCCTTTATTGATTCAAGTTGTTCTGCAAGGCTGTAACAATAGGCAACCACAAACAAATGTCAAAACAAGCAATTTTGAAGTAATTGAGTAAATGTTCCCAATAAATAAATAAACAAAAAGGCGCATTTATAATTGGACTGGTATCTGTAAATGGGAGATTTTAATCTGACTTTAGACCCAACCTTAATCCCTTCAAACAGAATAAATTTACTATGAAATACAAATGACCAATGCTTAAACTTTAGAAAGATTTTTGGTCATTCTAGAAGTAGAACTAATATATGACCATGGTCCAAACTTAGGATTAGTTGGTCAGCATGTTGCAAAGGTAACCAAATTTACAGAGGTCAATAATTTTTGTTTCATTACCTTTTGGGCTACATATTAGTCAATTTGGAAGTGTAAAATGTTAAACCATCAAAAAAGAAGAAGAAGAAGAAGAAGAAGAAGAGAGGAAGGGGTTCTCCTATAATCAGATAGTACAGTATCAAAATGTTTTGTTTGTAATTCAAAGATGACAAATTTAGTGACCAAAAAAATATATATATGTTGGGTCATGAGATTCTTATCCAGATAATTTAAATCATGGATCACGGGGCACTGTAGCCCATTCTCTGGACTTAGAAGCTTCAAATCATGTTTACTATTAAAAAACAAAACAAATAATAGGCTGAGAGAATCTTTCTGGTATGCAGCTCCGTGGGCTAGGAGAGCATCATCGGGGTGAAAATGAAAATAGGATCATGGCCCTTTTCTTCCTTCTTTTGTTTGTCTGGTCTGTGCTGTGTGTGTGTGTGTGTTTTTTTAAGTCTTATCCATGGGCTGCCTCTGGGAGCCCAAGTTCATGATCAGCTCATATTGGGCTTAATAAGGGCTTCTTCAAGACTCATTTATTTAGATTTTATTTATTTTTATTTTTTTTCCTAACGAAACAAATTTTGAAAAAAGGAACATGAATTGATCAGCAAATAATTTCAATGGGCTTGTTATCCAGAATCAAGAACTCAATTGGAAGGTAGTATATGTATACTTTATTAGAGTATCACACAAAAGCAAATAAGATTTTATTAATTCAACAAACCAAAATAATATATGCTGATGTCAGCAGTACAAGCGTTTTGCCTTATTATTTGCCTTTAAAATGCAATGAGACCTTGAACAGTGTGTGATTAAGAATTTTTCCTTTCCAACTAATGGCTATATTACCAAGTTGGGTCAAATATTAAGTCAACAACTGGTCAGCAAGTAAGAATAATGGCCAATTCTAAAAGGCTGTTGTCAACATATTGGACACAAACTAAAAAGCATGGCCACTGCTAACAAGGTTCCATGCACATGTCAGATACCGACACTCGTTGCACATGCCACGCAACATGCTGGACACAAGTCCTAATGTATCCTATTATTTTTAATCATTTAAGAATGGGACACACATTGGAGACTTCTAAAAAGACGACATGCCCGTGTTGGATACCAACATACGTTGCACAAGCCTCAAAGCATGTCAGACATGCATCCAAATATGCCCTATATTATTTGTAACCATACAGAGACAGGAACAAATTAATGCAGCTGTAGTAAAGAAAATCATGTTGATTTCAATTTGATGTTAGAATGTTGCAGTTGGCGATAACAAATGCAAACAATTGAAGTTCAGCTTTCATTTAAAGTGGACTTGGAAGAATTTGTTAAGGAAGCTTCAACAAAACATAGAACACACTTCAAGTTCTTAAGCTTATTCAGTTAAAATTTTCGGTCACAAGCAGTTTTGTTATAGGTTGCCAAAAATTCATAATTATCATTGACTTTTAAATGAAGGATGGGCAAGTGCAACAATCTAATGCCATAAAAATCCAAAACACTTGGAAATATAAGATTGTCAAAGTTTTATGATGGCATTGTGGCATACCTTCCAGCATTAAAGAAATCTTTGAGTTCATGATGGAATATTTTGAATTGTTCTACAAATACTTCACTATATTGTCCAGGGTTCTTGGTAATTCTTGCAAGCATTGCTTCTGTAGCAACCAAATCTTCAGGGCCAGCATTCCTGTGAAGCTTGTTCTGTATTGTATGCTTGATTTCTTGCTGAAATGTTGAAATTGGTAAATAAATACATAATTTTTTTTTATGAGTATTAAAATACACTAACTAATTTTCATGTCAATTTATAATGCAACAAATACACAACTTATCTTGACAGTAATAAAAACTAATACACCAAGATGCTCCATGACATACAACCTTAAGATCATGAGGGATATCATTCCGGTGTGCTATATCCCTAATTCGTGTCAGAGGAACAGATGCAGTAAATTCCGCCTTAAAAGAAGGCAAACATGGATGAATCTTGCGAATGACAACTACTTCCTGCATATCATCAAATAAAGACACATAATGACCAGAAACAAAAACCAAATGACAAGTAAGCAACACCTACAAAGAAATATTTTCAAGACAAAATGGAAAATAGAATAAAAAAAAGCACAAGTCACAATCAAGACATTTTTATTTCCCATTTTAGTATTTATATCTTTCTTTTTCGAGGGGAGGGGGCATCTAACAAATGGATTTTTTCTTCTACATAAATAAAAAATTAAAAAAAATTTTAAAAAAAAAAGAAAGAAAAAGAAAGCTGTTGATGTAGAAAAGTTTGCTAAATTTTTAAATAGACAATATTTAAAGGTCCAAAAGGTGAGTAACTCAGCATTTCAATGATTAAATTGAAGGCCAATAAGTAGAAGGGATTAGGGTTGATTTGGGGTGATCTAATATGGTTTTGGGACTGAAAAGTGCACTTTTAGAGGGTTGTGAATAGTAACTAGGGTATGTGCGCAACTAGAAGAAGAAGAAGAAGAAGAAGAAGAAGAGAGAAAGAGGTGTTTCACCCTTGGAAGGGTTAGGCCAATCACACACAAATACAATAAAAAATTCTCAAAATATCAACTCTTCCATTGAATCATTGAGATTACACAAATATTTATAGGCTAAAGACACTCCTAATTCTACAAGGACTAGAACTCATATTTAAAAACTAAGCATATTTGGCAATTACTAATATTCTAGTCCAACTATGACTACGACTTCCAATTCCCCTTCAACTAATCTCAAGACAACAAACTTCAAAAATCAAAGGCACAAAACTAAATTTGTACCAAACATTATATATTATGATAAATTACCTCAGGTGAAGAGTCTTTTCTAGAGGAAATTCTTTCCAATTCACGGAATATAAGCCTTGAAATCTCCGCATGCCTACTTGGCCGGTGATGACCTCCATCTTCAAAGCAAGAAATTTGCCCAGTGTTTATCCACTGCACAAAAGGAGAAAATCTAACGAGGGCTTGGACGAAACCACAAAACAAGGCAATAATGCAAAACAACAATAATAGAAAACCTTTAGATAGATAGCAGAATATATAAGAGCATCCAAACGCTGCCCACTTTCCAAACTTCCAACTAATAGTTCACGAACAACTTCAAGCTTCAGCAATAAAAGAAATGTAAATAAAAGATGTTAGTAGAAAAATAGGGCTTCAAACTTGAGACATATTAATTGATATTTCATCAAGTGATAAAGAAAACTAAAAATGCAGAAATATTAATAGATAGTAGCAAACTATTATTATCTCTCTCCTCTCTAATCCTTCTATCTCTATCCTTTCTCATCCCCTATCTAATCTTTGTTTCTTTTGGAACTCTCCATTCTCTTCTTGTTCTGACCCTCTATTTTTGCCCTTACCTTCTCCATTTTCTTTTCAGGATTCTTACGTTAGAGAAACCTTTGCAGAAGCTTAAGTTGTTTGAAAAAAAGGCAAACAATGTATATCCCAAAAGCTTAAGTTGTTAAAAAAAGGCCCAACAATGTATATCGAGCTATCCAACAGTATCAATCCAATGAGGTGACACATGGCCACTCTAACAAGAACATTGCTCCATTTGCTCACCCATGGATTGAATTGAACCATTCCAGTTCCAAGCATCACTAGAGCACATGGTATCTTCACCTCAAAACTAGACACTTAGAGACGTCCTTCAAAGGCAACTATGTGATTGGAAGAATGCAGCCATGACCTCCCACTCAATTAAGCATGTCCTCCAAGTGGATCCGTCATTGGCCGCGAGTCTCAGTCTCCAAGACCCAAATGCACATGGGCCAACCTAGTTCGAGAACTAGGCTTTTGCACATCCAAGGGGTAATGCCAAAAACATGGGGTGCCTCAAGGCTACCCTATGACCTATGTGCAAAATCTTCTAGGTTATATGGCTCGGTAACTATAACTAGAGCTAAGAGTTAGTCAAGGTGTTCATCTCCCCATATAGGACTTGTGCCTTGGTTGGTCTTAAAGAGAGAGAAAAGGGGGCATCTCCATATGTCCTTATCCTCCAAAGAAAAATCCCACACATGTATGCCTTTATACCAAGTAGCATGTCCCATATCTTATACTGAAGTTATCTCTGTAGTACCTACCCAAAAAAGTTCTCTGAAGTACTTAAAATTGTCATACTAATGAAGTGTCAAGCTATAGAGAGGTTGCTAGTTAACATCCGTTGTGGTATCCTAGATATTATTGTATCTATTAGTTGCTTTGTGTCTTATTATTTCAAATATACATGCTTTAATTATAATTATTTGATTTTGATGTGTATGAATCACATGCTTGTTTTGTAGAATTTGCCTAAAATATTAGTATTTTATTTGGACTCAAATTGATATATCATTAAAGATTTGAAAGGCATTGATAATTAAGAATTTCCCCTTTTTAAGAGGCAAAATTACAATTACTATGTAATAGGGGATGTAGATGTGGAACTCTTAGAATTGAGGGCCTTGTTTGGATGGCATCCTTTTTGTAGTGCATCAAAATGTGTTAAATCCTATCTGAGCCAAATAGATCCTATACCTTGTTAGTAGGAGGATATATGGCAAGCCATTGTATTGGCACATTACAACACACATGCAAGCCCAAGCTCATGATGAGTGTCTAGTTGGGACACCTCAACCAAATCTACATATTTTGGACCTTCCTCCTCTATTGTACTAGAGAGAGAGAGAGAGAGACAGAGAGAGGGCGATTGGGAAGGATCAGGACACCTTGAAGAGCTTGAATTTGTGGACCTTCTTCCACCATTGAACTACACACACACACAAACACACAGAATAAGAAGAGGGAGGATCAAGACACCTTGTATATGTAGTAAGAAAACCACTCTTTTGTTCATAATCTTGCAATGCAATCACACATACCTTCATGTAATCTAAATTTGTTGCATTTGAAACCCACTTCTTGATGTTGGTAGTGAAAACTACCATTGATGACCATAGCAATTGAGACCTTCAACATTAATGGTAGAATCGGGCACTATAGTCTTTCCTTGGAACATGCATGCATTAATGACCCAGAATCTCACATTTGTGATGGAATAGAGTTAAGATTGTGGTCTAATTCCATTCTTGAACATGTAGAGACTTGTAGAAGTGTTTAAACCTCATGAACTTAAATTTGATGCTTTTCATTTGTAATTTTTCATAAGTCACCTTGAAATCTAGAGTTTTCTTGAGCCTAGAGACCTTATTTTGTGACATTGGTATGTTAAATTCATTAAAAATCAAAGTTAGGTTGTGTTTTGGTGAGAAAATCTATACTTGTTTTGCCCAAAAATTCAGACTCCACAATTTAGGGTCGACACCCTGCCGGAAGGAGTCGACTCTAAAATCCAGCAACCATCAGATCAGTTTAGGGGTCAACACCATGTTAAGAGTCAACTCCAAAATTTAGCAACCACTAGATTTCCTCTCTACAACAAGGAGTCGATTCCAAGCATGTCAGAGGCGACAACAACCATGGATGATTTTCTTTACATTTCTATGTTTGATTTTGTAGGTCTTTGTTAATACCTTTTGTGTCTATGTTCATTTCTCTCATGTTTTCCTCACTTCACCCTTTCCCTCCTTATCTTCCCTGGCCCTTTGTCTCTATGTTTAATTTGGGAGGTCTTTGCTAATACCTTTTGTCTCTATGTTCATTTCTCGTGTTTTCCTCACTTCACCCTTCATCTCTATAATCTTCTCTTTTTTCCATCTCCATTACTAACTCTTTTTTTTTGTTTTTTTCCCTTTTTGTTTCTTCACTTATAATTTCTCTTTCTTATTTCCATCTTTATTATCTCCCTGAATCTATGTTTCCCTTGGCTAGGATTCCCCTTCTCCTCCTGTACCTTACCTCTCCTTCCTCTTCTCCATACTTCTTTCATTATTCTTAAATGTCTCTCCGATGGAATTATCCAGTCACGTACCTTATTCCTTATCTATTTGGGAGAAATCCCTCAAAGGTTACATGACCAAGGCTTATCATCTAAGAGAAGGGCAGCAAATAATTTGTGGGAACTTCCTGGTTCTTGTTTCTTATGCAGTTACAATAGTGGGACCTAACATGTTTCTGACAAATAGAACTATGAGATATAGTGGTTTGAACTAAACAGAGGAGAGCTATTTGAGCACAGCTGCTACAGTTAGTAGGTGATGAAGGCACGCTTTTTGCAATAATAAACTATTGTTTTGAAGCAATCACGGCATAATAATGTATATGGCTATTTGAATGTTATATATTATTTAAAAAGTGTATGAAGAGAGGTGACAACTAAATGAATCACCACATCAAATCAAAAAGACATATAACCACAGAAACATGAAAAACCAAATGGATAAGCAAATATATATAATACAAAGGACTTCAAACTATATTACCTTGTTTGGATCAGCTTTTAATTTGGATTTTGTTCTTTACCAAGTTTTGGCCTTCACGAAATAGGCCCAAAACCCATAAATGCCCATAAAAAAAGTAAACAAATTGAATGCAAATTGAAGGAGAAAAAAAAAGGTCTATAAAAAAGCTAAAAGCCAATTACAAAAATAGTAAACAAATTGAACCAAGAAAATATAAATGAAGGAATAATGTGATTTTGAACAACAGAAGACATCATGAGGTGAACTGCCCATTGTTGATTTTTTGTCCCTTGAACAGATCCAATGAATTTTAAAAATTAAAGTGAAACATAGCCAATAGTAATACCTTTCGCCACCAATTCCTGCCATTTCGATCACCTTCCACTAACTTTACAGCCAGCCCTTCAAGACCTGATGTATCCCACTTTCTATCTGCTTCTCTGTCGTGATGCTCATTTGATCGCATGAAAGAGGCAGCCTTACCTTGCCATTGCTCCACAAAAGAACTTGTCCCTACTACCACATCAGTAGCTGCAGACCCATTATCACCAACATATTCCACACCCTCCACATTTTGTTCCAAATCCAAAGGCAATAGATCCACAGCCTCGCCAGTCATGTCCCAATGACAAATAATCGCAAAACTGCCTCCTTTTGGCAGCTTCAAGACTCGATTGTCACCACTTTCCCAAACTACTTTCTTGTTCTTCCTTACAATCACAAATTTGTACTCAACAGAGTCACCCCCTTCTAGTTCTACTGCACAAACCCAACCATCCTCTGTCCATTTCATTGCAACTTGCTTTTTCCATGATCCCAATTCCTTTGTTGACCCCAAAACTGCTACATGATCGCCAAATTGGACTTGGTGATCCAGACGCACACTTAGCCTCACCTTCCCCTGCGCCTTCTTCTTCCCCATCTTCTCTTCTTCTCTGCCACAAAACTAATTTTGTAATCCCAATTTTCTGAATTCATTTCAAAGAATTCAACAGAACATCGCAATAGGATTCATTTTTATACTCTTTTGTTTGTATTAGTTCGTTCTTCAAATCATTTTTCTTTTCTTTCTTTCTTTTTTTTTTTTTGGAATAAATGTTCTTCAAATAATTTTTCATTATCAAAATCCTTTTGCAGCTAGCAAAACATAAATCAGATTTTCATGGGATGGGTAATTAAATACCTGTTGGCACCACCTTAAAGAAAATTTGCACAGGTTATGTAAAAAAAGGGGCTTTTTGTCTTCAATTTTTTCCTTTCTATTAGAAGTTGAAAGACTTTTGCATCCGAAGAATCCAAGAACTCCATTTTTGTCTCGGGAAAAAATTTACTAACATTCAAAATTGAAATTCTGATTCAAAATTAATTTACCAGGTAATTGAAGAAGAGGTGCTTCCTGATTCCAAATATTCTTAAAGACAAAAAGGGGTTGCTTCTAAACCATTCGGATGGTTACTGATGAAACACAAGATTATGCAACAAAATAAAGAATTGAATCCTGTAGTCTTTATTCTTTGGGTTTCCCAGAATTTCTGACAGTCTATAGTATTCAAATTCTCAAATTCCAAAGACTACTATGATGAGATTCAAATAAAAAAACATTTCTACAGGTTTTGATTTACTTTCTCAGCAACCAGCTATAGTACATTTTCAAAATTCAATAACTCAAACCAATAAAGGAATAAAAAGAAGGGTTAATCCCCTCAACCATTAGTAAATATCACTTGACCTCTCATTTATGATGAACCATACATTTTGATTCTTTCAATCATAAAAATGAATCACTTTCAACCCTCCAGACCACCCCTAAAAGGGTGTATTTATACGATTTTTATAATTGAGTGGTTGATATCTATGGTTCACATAAGAGGGGTAAAGTGATAACAGTTGGTGGGTTCTTTTGATGTAATTAATCCTAAAAAGAATGGAAATTAAAATCATGGGTCCTAATTTTCTCATAATCTACTAATTCAAAATCATATTTTTCTTTTATATTCCCAAGCTTTCTCAGTCACCAAACAAGCAGAAAAAATATAAACAACAAAAATTCCTAGAAATTAAATAGAACCCAACACAAAAGACAACAAATTACCTAGTCTGTACAGAGGAAACACCACAAAGGATTGGAGAGGAGTGACGTCGAAGAGCAGTGGATCGATCAGCAAACCCAGGAGTCTGAAAAATTGAAGGTCTTATAAAAGCGAGAGTAGCGTGACGTTGGTGATGGGAAAGGAATTTGAACTGCCTTGGGCAATGGTTTTGTGAAGATGTATAACTTGCAGAAGTAGCAGTAGAAGAAGAGCAGCAGTGCAATACACGAAGGGTATCCATTGGAGTAACGGAATAGGTAGATATACAGAACACTCTATATATATTATGTGAGAGAGAGAGAGAGAGAGAGAGAGAGATTATATGAACCGTTTCAGCATAGTTGGGGTGATCTGCAGCTTCCTATTATGCAGAATGGTTGGAGAGAGAGAGAGCACTAACAGTTTGGTTTGGATAGAAAAAAAATAATAATAATAATTATTATTTAAATGAGATATTTTATTTTATTGAATTAAAATATTTATTTTATTTTTTTATGATTATTTTAATTAAAAATTTTATTTTAATTTATGTCAAACGAATATTTAAGAGTTGTTTGGGATGTTTTAAATAAGTATATTTTTTATTAAATATAGATTGGATTTGAAGTGATATAATAAAAGAGTGATATAACTTAAATAAGATGATGTGATTTAAATCGAACAGTGATTTTTTTATTTTTTAGAATGTCAAACCAGTTTAATAATCGTTTGACATGTGAGTTTGGATTAAGTAAAATTATTTTAATTATAAAAAGATAAAATACGTTTATTTTAGTTTTGGTTAAAAATTTTATATTTAAATCATAATTATTATATTTTTTTCTTATTAAAGTTAAAAGATTAAAAAATTTATTTTAAACCAGATTATTTTAGTTCTAAATTAAAATATGGTAGTGATGCATGTATTAATTAACATATCAATTAGTGTACCAACATTAATTATGATATTATTATTGATCCCGCTTATTAATCACATTATAAATATTACAAATCTTTTAAATTATATCACATCATCTATTGATACATTAATTAATACATAAATTAGTACAGAGAGCATTATGAATAATTTTATATTTAAATCATAATTATTATATTTTTTTTCTTATTAAAGTTAAAAGATTAAAAAATTTATTTTAAACTAGATTATTTTAGTTCTAAATTAAAATATGGTAGTGATACATGTATTAATTAACATATCAATTAGTGTACCAACATTAATTATGATATTATTATTGATCCCGCTTATTAATCACATTATAAATATTACAAATCTTTTAAATTATATCACATCATCTATTGATACATTAATTAATACATAAATTAGTACAGAGAGCATTATGAATAATGTTATATGCACTAAGTAGTATATACTAATTAGTGTACCAATTGATAATGTTACATAATTTAAGAGGTTTTTTATATGGACTTGGGGTGACTGTTATGCTTCAATTTTACGTGTATTATGGACTTATTTTTATGATCCGAACCGTTTATTTTATAGGGTATGTTGAGTACTTCATACCTACTAAAATTCATATTAATCGGATATCAATAACTATATGATCGATAACCAAAAAAATGAACAATAAGTTTTTCTTTTGAGAAATAGCATAAAAAAAATGCAATTCCATCATATATAATAGCCGATTAATATGATTTTTTATAGGCATGAAGTACTCAACAAATCCTACAAAATGAACAATTTAGATCATAAAAATAAGCTCATAATACACCTCAAATTGAGGCACAACAGCCACTATTGTGCCTTTAACACAGCAGTGACCCATTTCTTTTTTATATTTATAATGTGATTAATGAGTGGAGTCAATAATAATATTATAACTAATGTCGATACACTAATTAATATATTAATTGATACATGTAATATTATTGTAGTATTATTCATTAAAATAATTAAAATGTCAATTTAAAGAAATCTGCATTTGATTTTGTGTGACACGTGGGAGGCTCTGGGACGTGAACAAATCCCCATGACCGATCAGATTGAGAGAGAGAGAGAGAGAGAGAGATGTGATGTGGGGGAAATCGTGAAGCGTTCCATGACCGATCAGATTCGTGAAGCGTTTAATTATTGTTTACCTTTTTCACGGCACTTTTCATTTGTATCCCTATCCCTTCGAATCACGTGATCAGGCTCCGAATAATTATTGGAAGAGAAAAGAAAAGATAAAGGCTGTGTTTGATGTGATTTTGAATCATGATTTCATCTCTTCATTCAATTATTATATCGGTAATGATTAGTGGTTCAAAAATATATGATTTAAATGGTTCGAAATATTTAAAATGATATCATTTTAAATGTATAACGATATTATGTTGTCATTTTTAAGTCATTCGACCCTATATTTCGAGCCACCAAACATTAATCTTATTATATTTGATTAGTATATTGTTTAAATAAAAACTTATTTTAGGTGAGATTTAAATTTGAAAATTTGGTCTATCCGATTATCCTTTTTAAACGTTTGGCCAGTCTCTGGCAGGATAATCGGTCAATTATTCGGAATAATATAAATTTTTTTGACAATTGGCACTTATTATTTTTTGTATATTAAATAAAAAATATTTGTCAAATTTTTTTTAAAAAAAATTAAATTTTGAATAGAATTTTGAGCTGTGTGTTTAGTTATGAACGGTAAGTTTTTGAATAAATATCATCTCTCACATCAATTATTCCAAACTCAATTTAAAAGTCATAATTAAATAAATTTTTCACACTCAAATCATAATTTCAAAATTCACAAACTCCAAATACAACTCTATTCTCAAATTAAAATTCTAAAACTCTACTAAACACAACCAAAAAATTGACAAACAATATTCATGATTTTCGAGCTTCTTTGTTAAAACGGGAAATTGCATACAGCTGGTTCGGTTTTAATTTTTAAAAAATATTTTTGAAAAAAAATTATTTTTTTATTTTTAATAATTTTTTTAATATTTTAAGTAATTTTTTTAATTTTTAAACACACTGAATATAAATATACTTAAAAAGTATAATATTTATGAAATTTTTTTAAGAAATTCACTAAATACTAAAAATATTTAAAATATATAAAAATTCAGTACATTTTTTGTATTTTGTGTATTTATTAATTTTTCAAAATATTTTTCATAAATATTTTACTATTTAAATACATCTAAGTAAGGTGCATCTAAAAAAATTTTAAAAAAATTGTTTAAAATTTTAAAAATATTCACTAAAAATAAAAAAAAATATGAAATATAAAAAACTCAATTTCCAGAAAATTAAATTTAGAAAACTAAAATCAAACACACTGATATTTATTTAGCGTAAAATTTTATATTTAAATTAACTAAAAATTAATAAAATGTGAATATGATTAAATAAGTTTTAACTATTTTTATTGGAGGTACATTAAAATGATTTTTTTTTTTTGAGTAAATTGATAATAAATTCAATTTAAGGAGAGTATAAGGTATTAAGTTCAATAGATATTTTTTTGTTGATGAGAGATCCACCCTTTGTGAAATATAATTTGGTAATAAGTCATTTTATTTGTTTTGAAGGATATTTTATTTTAATTTATCTGTTGACTTTTTTCTATCTATCTATTCAAATTTTTCCCTATCTATTCAAAAAAAATTCCTGTCTATTTAAAAAATTTCCTATCTGTTCAAATTTTTTCCCTATCTGTTCAATTTTTTAATCTTTTCAATTCAAATTTTCCTTATTTGTTTAAGTATTTGTCCAAATAAATTTTTACCTGTTTAAATTTTCCTACTATTTATTTAATTTATTTCCCTTATCTATTCAAATATCTGACAAATTTTGATCATATGTTCAAATTTTTTTTATGTGTTGCAATCATCATCAACAACAACATCTATTTCTCACTTCTTATCTCCCTCTTTCTCACTCTATTTGTAGGAATGAACAAAAAAAAGAAAAGAAAGAGAGATGGAGCACTATTTGTTTCTCATCATCATCATCATCATCAACAACAACAACAATAATAAACAACTAAAAAAAAGAAGTAAAGATTTGTTTTACAAATCGGTGAAAGCACAATAATAATAATAATCAACAACAACAATTAAAAAAATAGAAAACTGTTAAAAACAATCTGTTTATGTCAACAACAACAAAAAAATTGTTGTAATCATCATCATTATCAACAAAAAGAAGAAAAACAGCTTTTTACATCTCCATATTGAGATCCCTAAATCATAACAAATACTAAATCAAACACATACAATCCAAATCAAAGATATAGACATACATGTATAGCTAAAAAAATCTCAATCAAAGATATCTAAATCGAGAGTTTTCGAAGAAATGTGAATGAATTTTTTATTAGGATTACTAGATTGAGTTTCTTCATCTTCATCGTACGAAGTCATTGTGATTATGGATCACGAGCACTAGTTGGTGGTGGGGTAGGGGGTTACGAGATCCAGACGTAGAGGGACCATAGCCAAGTGTCTTGCCGACAAGGCGAAGTTCAAATTGGATTCAATCTAGTGCCTAAGCTATGGTGACGATAATGGGATTCATGGCTGAAACAAGAGAGAGAGAGAGAGAAGAAAGATTAGTGGTGTGGCAGTGTGGCTCAACTTTTCGTGCTCCTTTCAGATACGACTAGCCTCACAATTCGGACTCCCGTAGTTTTGAATCTGATTTCACAAAGTGCAATGTGAAACAGTGAAAACAAAAAAGAGTCCAAAATCCGACAATTCTTTTGAAAAATCAATGTTTGAATCAAATGTCAAAAATGGACTGCTTTGTCATATTTCAAAGTCGCCACCAAAATATTTTTGAGAAATTTAGGAAACCTAAGACTTGTGCCAAAGGCCACTTATTCGTCATCACCAAAGAGGTACGAGAGAAGAATGTCATGAATTGAGCATCACACTTGTCCGATCAAAGATCGGTCTCTACTAATCATGATGTAATTTTTATTTACGTTATATGCTCTTATTTTGAATTATTAGCTATTTTTTCTATGTGACGCACACAAGTATAGACCAATTTACAAGGATTGGAACATTTGATTTTATGTTTGTTATTGTTTTGTGAATATGCCACTTGAAAAAGTGAGCTTAAAATGGACATTAATCAAACTATCCCAATTCAAGCAACTAGACTTCATCCACAGGTATTCAAATAGTTATATCATTTAAGAAATTAGCCTTATGGAAGTATGCTTGGACATGGTAATAACCACACTCATGCGATATGCTAAAACTCAAAATTGCTCACCTAGTACTCCGAGCCAAAACAAAGCAAAATAATTAGAAAATATGCATACTCCTGATCAATGCAA